ATATATGGTTCACTCTTTAGAAGCAATCCCAAAACGAATCGTTATCGTTCTCCATTCAAAACCACTTTTGGAAAACTCCTCTAGACAAGCCACCTCTTGTTCGCCTTTGCCGCTTTCCCCTCATTCCTCAATCCAATGTCGTGCAACAAGTGCCCCGACTAGACGCCAGAGTGTCTGGCAAAAAGTGAGCCGTAAAGATACAAAGATACATGTTCGTGTATGAAAACATTGCCATGCGGTGGCTAGCCATAATAAATAATTAATAGATACAAAATAGCGGAGCAATCAGCTGACGAATGCAATTGATTTCTGGGTAGCGTCTAATGTTATACAATTTCATGCGGCAGAGGGGCTGTGGCAAGGGGCAGGGACAGGGAGAGGGAGAGGGAGATGGCCATGTAATTGCATGGCTACTGCCACGGTTGTATCCGTCAGATACAAACTGCAGTTTCGATTGAGTCACAAAGCAGCCTGGCCTGGTGGTTCGTGTCGAGGCAATTAAAATGAAATTTCTCGCTTAGAAAAAACAGTATCTGTACCTCTGAGGGCGGGGGGGGGAAACGTATCTGTGTATCTCTGTACCTCTGAACAGGGGGGAGCAGTGGGCACCCTTTGACTTTTGGTCTGCTGATCTTTTGTGAGTCACGCCGCTGCCCCCCACTCGCGTCCTCCATTTGCCACCCACACGTGCGTCAGAGAGAAGACCGCGAAATGAGAGACACATATGTGGATACCAGATACATTTGTATCTAATTGCCATTAATTGCGGCGGGGCGCATCCATTAGATGCGTACGCGAGCATCGGGCATGCCATATGCTCGATTACACCACAATTTTGCGGTTACGAGTCTATGGTGGGAGGGAAAAGGCAGGGGAAGGGGAAGGGGAAGGAAGGTACACTTTTAGGCACAATTTCAACCACTTGTTGCAGATACATTTGTATCTTGCGAGTGAGATTTCTCAAGGGAGGAGAACTTGTTATTTATCCAAGAGATACAGGCGGTTTCAATATATATTTTGAATACGGAATGAAATTATTAGAATATTATCGATACCAAAATGGCATAAAATCGATCGAATTGTATCGAAATAATTTATCTTTCATCTCTAGATATCAGATCAATTGAAATGGTTAAGATTTAGCTCTTCCCTCCTTTTATCGACCCATTTTAGAGGATTATACTTCAAAGAACCCACCTTTGGAGATCAGAAAGCAGTACGTGCCTCTACTCCCCATTGTTTTCATAGTTTTCCCTTTAAAATCCATAGGTTTCCTTGGCCATTTGTATCCAATGCAAATGAGGCAGAAACTATTCCAAAAACATTGAACTCTTGCCCCGAATTCACGCGTAATGGCAGTCACGTAATCGAAATTATTGTTTAATTAAAGACGAGAACAAAACAACAACAAAATCGCAAACAAAATGCTTTGTCGACTGTCGACGTCAGCAGCAATGACAATAATTAATAACAAAAGCAGAAAATGGCACTCAAGCCTCATTTTGAAGTTTCATTTTCATATAAAATATCACACGAGAATCAAATAAAATACAAATTAAATCTGAGCAAAAGGTGTGTCCACAGGGGGACGTATCTGTATCTGTACGTCTGTATCTTTGTGTGGCTGTGTCTCCGAGAGAGATTATATTTATTTAAATGTGATAAATTATCCCCCCAGTTGCATTTTAATGAGTTCTACAAGTAAAATGGGTTTATTTTTGAAGCTGTTGGAGGATGGGAATAATCTTTGATACCTTGTAAAAATTATTTATTTATTTTTAGGTGCATCTCTTAAGGAAATCTCTGAATTTCGATACTTTTTGCTATCTTCTAAATGGTTATTAGCTTGTCAGCCAGACCGAGGGGTGCTACTGCATGATGCGTGTCTGATTTAAACGAAAAGGAAAGCAATCTATTTATCTATATCTATTGTACGAGTATACAGGCCAAAGCCTGCTTAGAATATGTATACCCCTCTGAAAGGCATCACAAATACTCGTATGCAAAATTCAATTGCAGTTGGTTTTGGCTCTGGCACTTGGTATTGAAACAGAGGCCCACAAATAAATATGTATACAATATACAGAATAGAATGAATACAATGAAAACGAGTGTAGTGTGTGGGCTGTAATTGCTGCTAAATGATGTAGGATTGCCAGCTGCCTCGAGGCGTGAGGCATGGAGGCACTTCCTTCGTTCTCTTGGCCCAGTGCCTTATGCAATCCCCTCACCCTCACGTGATCTCCTCCTCCGTAATGAATGATGATTCACTCCAAAGAGAGAGAAGACTGAAGGCCTCCGATGGCTGATAGCAGCAGAAATGTCACTCGCTTGGACGGGCAGCAGCAATTCATTAAGCGGCTGTCATCAGTCCCCGCCGGTCATAATTGATATTGTAATCAACAGAGAACCTCAAAGACTTGGAAGTCTCCCAGACTTTTCCTACGATAAGGATTGCCAGATACACAGATACAGATACGAGTGCACGAGTGGCACTATCTGCACCGCAAATGAGTCGAGAAATTAGCAACAGAGATTCTCTCATTGTGGAGGTGGCGGTGCGTGGGATTTTCTCGATGGTCTGCTAATTGGCAGCAAAGAAGCCGCCCCAGCCGTATGTCGGATAAAAACTAACATCTGGTGGGTGGTTTTACCATCGAAACGTTTTCTTTGAGGCACATTTAGTATCTTTTAAGGTCTAAGCGATGATTAAATATCAATAAACAGAAACGGTTGTAGATATAACAAAAAATCATCTCTATCCATGATTTTCTACCACAAAGACTTCTACTTTCCTTTGTTCTACCACTCGGAAACGCAAAACAAGGAAATTGCCTGACATTATTCTGCATACAATCTATTGCATTACTGTGTAAATGAGCCATAAAGATAGCAGCAGTATCTATATCTACACATAGATTCAAACTGTATCCATGAACAGTCGCAACGTTGTTGCCGAGGCACATGGCCCTCTTTGGGGGGTTCTTCTGATAAAAAAAAGGTCATCGATATGAAAATAGATAGCCAATTGATCTGTTAAACAAATACATACATATATGATAGGCATTCACGGGAAAACATAAGTAAGGTTCACTCTTGAGAGCTGCCAAGCCACAAATGTGGATCCGTAATTGATAATTTCCTCTTTCGCTTTCGGGTTACTCAATGCCTCTGCCTCCGCCTCGAACATAATCAAATTGCTGGCTTTTCAATTTCCATTTGTTCAGCAGAAAAAGAAACTTGGAGACTGGAGACGAAGCCTCTGGGGGGCTTGGGGCTGGGGGCTGGGGGGCTGGGGGCTGGGGTCTGGCGTCTGGGACTGTTGTCAAGCGCATTTCAATTTGCATTTTTCACTCTTGACTTGCGACTCGTTTTTCTGTGTCACTTTTGAGGAGAGACCCCACACCCAAACCCCTCAATCCCCTCCTCCATCCGTCCGGCGGCGTCACGTGTTTGTTTGTGGTTTTGCCATTCGTTTAAGTTTGTTTTTCTGTTCATTATGTTATGTTGTTTTGCCCTCTGTTTCAGTCGCAGTTCCAGTCTCAGTTCCAGTCTCAGTTTCAGTTTCGATTTCTGTTTATGTCAACTCAAGGTGGCAGATCATTGAACGCTGCTATGACCAATTGAAGATCGTTTTACAGAGAGAAACTACAGAAACACACAAGGAATTAGTACAAACACCAAGCACAACTGTACTTTTTGTTTTAAAGGGGGAATATTTAACAGCATTTGCGTTCCTTTTCGATTGCTAAACAACATCAAGCACAACTGTACTCTTTTTAGGAGGAATTATAGAGAGAGACCCTTTTAACCACATGATAGTAGCACTTTTTAAGCACTTTCTCTTAGATCTTGAGATTTAAAATGTGAATCATCAAAAAGTCTCATCAAATAAATGCATTGCATTGTACAACACTGCTAAGAATAGTCGAACCATTTGCCCTTTAAAATATAATTGAGCTCCTTGGGATATTTCCTCCTTCTTTAGGCCTCTTTTGGAGGCAGACCTTCTCCCTCCTTTAGAGCATATCCCTCCTCGTATTCCCTAATCATCCATCAACACTTGCCAAGGTTCCCCACGGTGGAAAATGGCCTCCTGGTAATTGCCACAATTAGATAAACAATCCATTTCTCGGGAGGGCCATCGGAGGAGGAGTGCGATTAACAATGGAATATGGGCCAGGTGTCGTTTGGGTCAAATGCCATATCAATTGTAGGAGAAAAATCAAGTGCAAGTTCAAACCGAGGCCCAAAGGTAGGAGATACATAGGTTCATTTCGATAGGCATATCGGCAGCGATAGATCGAATTGCGATAGAGTGATGTGGAAACCATAGGTTAATGTGAGAGAATATATACGACTCAGAAAAGATTCAGGTTTACATCGAGAGAGAGTTGTATAATTACTATATCGTATCGTATAATCGACTAGACAATCATTCTACACATGGATAGCCCATAAAATCCGTTCAAGCTATTTTGAGACTACATTTATGGCCGGAATAGACCCCGAAAGACCGCTAAGATCGTTCAACTGGTTTCTGTTTTTGGACCGTAAGAACCATTAAACGAAGATCGCTCGGTGCATGATCAAATATACTCGTATGCCATCCGAAAAGCCATCCCCCAGATCTAGTTAAACCGCATTCGAGTGTACGACTAAGACCGAATGGAATATGAATATCTGCGTAATAAATAAGTATGTTCCGTGTAGAGTGGAGTGGTTTAAAGTGGAGTGGAGTGGAGGAGAGCCGAGAGAAAACAATTTATAATACAACAAATGCATGCAATTATTGATTTTATAAGTAGTGCCGTGTTTCTCAGATTGTCTGTGTGTTCCTCTAAGCGAATAATATTCGCACGTATTCGCATTTGTCTGGAGGGGGGGCGTGGAGGGGGGTGGGGGCGGGAGCAGGAAGTTCCGACCGTCCGTCCGTCTACTCTGAAGACACGAGAGACTCGCATTTCAGTTGCGTCGCGACTGTGAACGTCTCAAGCCGTTTTCTGCTGGGAATAGCCCCGAAAACAGATTCGAATATCGGTTCTATATCTGATACAAGTGCAGATACTTTTGGAGTGCAGTTGGGAGATAGAAAAGTATCTTCAAGCCAGTGTTGAGCAGAAAAGATACATTCGAAGAATGAAACTCGATCGCATGAAGCTGCTCTTCGTCTCCGCGGGCACCCTCGTCTTTGCCATCCTCTTCGGCTGGGTTATGTTCCCAAAGATACTTAAATTTATGATCTCCAAGGTTCGCAAAAGTGCTGTATCTCTTCACCCTAACGAAAAGTATCTTTAATCCGTAGCAAGTAACGCTAAAGCCCGGCACGGATGTCAGGGAACTCTGGTCGAATACCCCCTTCCCGCTGCACTTTTATTTCTACGTTTTCAATGTCACCAATCCGGAGGATGTATCCCAGGGTGGACGGCCACGGCTCCAGGAAGTGGGTCCCTTTGTGTTCGAGTGGGTTTTGCGATCGATCTTTGAGATTAGAGCTGCGAATTGATATCTTTCCCTCTTGTGCAGTGAATGGAAGGACAAGATTGATTTGGTGGATGACGTTGTGGAGGATTCGGTCACCTTTACCATGAGGAATACTTTTATCTTCAATGCGGAGGCATCGTATCCCCTGACGGGAGAGGAAACTATTACCCTGCCACACCCCATCATGCAGGTAAGAGAGATCGTACTCGAGTAACGCAAAAAAGATACTCCTTTAAAGATGGGAAGACACTCATCTAAAGCTAAGGGTGACGGCTCCTCTAAAGATAGTTAAGGTACTGCTCTAAAGATAGCTAGATACTTCTCTTCGGAGTGCACATGACCTTAATGACTCCCATTGTTCTCTGAATATCTCTTTCTCTCTCTCTCACTCTCTGTGGGAATTATGCAAATCACATTCTCAGCAGCGAAAAATGCACCTATCAAATTGTGAAAATCATATTTGAAATGCAATTACACAGATGCTTATCCGCGAGATACGCATTAGAGGTCTTCCACATGAATTCAAATGGGAAAACGAATGAGTTGCGAATGTGTTCTGGGGTGAATTCGATTTATCATAGTTCTCCCTTCAATTTCCTCCAGCCTGGCGGCATTACAGTCCAGCGAGAACGTGCGGCCATGATGGAGCTGATAGCCAAGGCCATGTCTCTGGTGTTTCCCGGGGCCAAGGCCTTCCTCTCCGCCACGTTTATGGATCTGTTCTTCCGTGGCATCGATGTGGACTGCTCCCCGGATGACTTTGCGGCCAAGGCCCTTTGCACGGTGTTCTACACGGGCGAAGTGAAGCAAGCGAAGCAGGTCAACCAGACGCACTTCTTGTTCTCATTCATGGGGCAGGTAAGTGTGTCCTTCGGGGATCGATCCCTGATTGTTCTAGAGATCCCCCTCTTTTTGCAGGCCAACCACTCGGATGCTGGACGCTTTACTGTCTGCCGGGGCGTGAAAAATAACAAGAAACTGGGAAAAGTCATACGATTCGCCGAGGAGACCGAAATGGATGTCTGGCCGGGCGACGAGTGCAACCAGTTCGAGGGCACCGACTCCACCGTGTTCCCTCCTGGCCTCAAAAAGGAGGAGGGACTGTGGGCCTTCACCCCCGATCTGTGCCGCTCTTTGGGGGCCACCTATGTGAGGAAATCCTCGTACCATGGCATGCCCTCCACTAGATACACTCTGGACCTGGGGGACATGCGTTCGGAGGAGAAGCTGCATTGCTTCTGCGATGATCCCGAGGATCTGGAAACGTGTCCCCCGAGGGGCACCATGAATCTGGCACCCTGTGTGGGGGGCCCACTGTTGGCCTCCATGCCGCACTTTTACAATGGAGATCCAAAGCTTGTGGCAGCCGTTGATGGCCTCCATCCGAATGAGAAGGATCATGCGGTTTACATAGACTTTGAGCTGGTAAAACTGAAATGGGAATCTCTGTAGGATATACCTTTACATCTCTATGTTCGTTCTTCAGATGTCTGGCACTCCCTTTCAGGCGGCCAAGCGTCTCCAATTCAATCTCGACATGGAGCCCGTGGAGGGCATTGAGGCGCTCAAGAATCTCCCAAAGCTCATCCTTCCGCTCTTTTGGATCGAAGAGGGCGTCCACCTGAACAAGACCTACACGAATATGGTCAAATACACGCTATTCCTGTGGGTGTCCTTTAGGTCTTCATTCGTCTCCTGCTTTCATAGATCCCCCTTCTTCCTTCTTCCTTTCAGTGGCTTAAAATTCAACTCTGGTCTGCGTTGGACTCTCATTACTCTCTCCCTGGTGGGTCTCATGTCGGCTGCTTATCTTTTCTATCAGAATTCCGATAGCCTGGACATCACTCTGCCTCCGAAGATCCTCAAGGAAGTCAACAAAGTGGCCGATGCGGCCATGAATTCGAAGATGTTCCCTGAGAAAGCTCCCACCACTCCACAGACGACTATTCCGGGCACCAATCCTCCCACCAATCATGGTGCCCAGCCACCTCCTGCTGTGGCTTCGGTTCCAGGCATATCTCCACCGTTAAGTCTCAAAATGGAGCAAACACAGCGTTATTAGAGCTTAAGATAGAACGGGAGAGACAGAGAGATAGAGAGAGAGAGAAAGAGAGATCCCTGCGATCTCTGGGATCCACTGTACTCTGTACCGATCCCCACTGTAGTAGTTTCTTAGTAGGGAAGCACCCCTGTAGTATATTTAATTCAAATGCTAATAAAATGCGACAGCAAACTTGTTTTTAGAGACCATTGGAGCGAGCTTTAATCGCTGAACGTCCATCTTTCTGTTTCAAAATAGAACAATCTTTTATTTTCTTCACTTAAAGTTTACTTAATGCTTTCCACATAAGAGTGTCGAATCCTCCTCCCAAAAGGTCACATCCTTCGCCAGTTCCTTGTCGCTTAAGAGCTCCATCAAATGGTCGCATTTAATCCCATCTTCTTTGACAAAGAAATCATAATCCACATCCTTGATGTAAATCTCTCGCAGTTTCTCCTGCTGTATCTCTAGATAGTTCAAGTCTTTTAGCTTCGGCAACATATCCATGGAATAGGTGAGGCTCAAGCGCTCCAAGTGCTTTGATTTCCACAGATCTGGGGTATCCTTGAGCTTATCTATGCCCGACAGATCCAAGTCCATCAATCCAGTGGCCTTTGATAGAAAATCCAGACTCGACAGATTCGTATTGGCCAAATCGAGCTGCTCCAGGGCTTGAGGCTGGGTAATTTTCACATCTACCAGCTGAAGATTGTTATCCAATCGAAGTCTGATGATGGGGCCATCGAGAATCACAGATTTCAGAGCACAATTGGAGGCCTGCAGCTCTTGGATGTCTCCTTTGAGACGAAGTCTCGTTAGATGTGGATTATCAGAGAGTATTAAATGCTCTATGGATTCAAAAGTATTCATGGATATCTGTTCCAATAGATTATTTCTAGCTGAAAGTAGTCTCAGCGGTCTAAAGAGTCCTCTGGGGAGTTCTTTGAGTTTGTTGCTGTCTAGATTCACGGTTTGAAGTGCATTTAAATGAGTGAAAACATCTAGAGAAACAATCTTCAGTTGATTGTTGGATAGATTGAGTTTCTGTAACTTTTTGAGGGGTAAAAATACTCCTCTTGGGAGTTCCTCCAATTGATTGTCGGATAGATTCAACTCCTCCATCTCTGTCGAAAGATCAAAGGTGTTTCGTTCCATTTCCTTTATAGAATTTCCACCCAGATTGAGTATCTTCAAGTTCTGCGAGCCCCTAAAGCACTCTCTGTCTATGTGCTGCACCTCACTTTCCAAGACAGCAAATTCCACGAGTTGTGGCAGACTTTGAAAGACATTTCTTGGTAGATTCATCAGTCGCGAGCTGTGGATGATCAGTGCTTTGTAGTCCTTCAGTTTCCCGGCGGTATTCTCTCCAAAAAAGGCCACCTCTAAGGCTGAGGGATACTCCAAACCCACGCAGAGGCTCTCCTGACAATCTAATCGCTCCACTGGCACTTCCTTCAGCCCTCTCCGGCTCCCTTCTTTATCTGCATCCTGTATCCGCATCTGTGACTCACAAATGGAGGCTACAAGCAGCAGAATCGTCAACACAGCCTCTAATTTTCGGAGCGACAGCATCTCTGTGGATCTTTGTTGATGAAGAACTAAACATAGAACTGGAAACGAGAAGCTTTTATGGCACATTTAAGACGATAAACAGAACAGAACACGACCTTCGTGAGAGCATCCAAAAACTGGTCTTTGAATTTTGGGTTTTTGTTTTGTTTTTTTTCTGCTCATAAAAATTTATGATTCCTCTTCAATGAATATTCGCGCGGAGCTCCTCTACAACTCGGCGATTACTTAGTTCATTTCGAATGAAAAGCCGGCCGATAAGCACGTTCTCTCCACTCCTACACTCGACACTCGACACTCGACACTCGACGATCGACGATTGATGGGGGTCCCCGCAGTTCGAGTAATCCTATAAATTATAGGCAACTGGAATATCAGCTGATACGATAGGCTCTGACTACCGCCGAAAGAGTGTCTCAGATGTGGCTCATTTGGGGGCTACATTCGGTCTGGATTCAACGATACGAACCACTTTTTCACAGTATTACTCTTAATAGATTCTCGGCATTGATGTAAGATTCTAGTTTGCAGAAGTACGGGATATATCTTTATAGAATTTCCTCTCAGATTCGGTTTCAAATCATTATTTCAGTCAATGAATTGCATTGCTTCAACTGCTTCAAGAGACAGCTCTTTAATCGCACTCTTTATCTCTATTCATTAATCAATAATTGTAGTAATTATTTACGATAACTTTCAATGGATGAAACAAGTATCAGAATGAACACTTTTGTTCATTAATTTTATCATCTGTACATACGAGTACACAAGCGTATCACTTCCGTCGATGTTCGATATTCAGATACCCCGCGCCACGAGTATTTTGTTGTTGAATTCTGGGTACAATGAAAGCACCTAATCTAGCCCAACGAGTACACCTTTGATTACCACCATTCAAGTTCGTATCAATATCATGTATAATTCCATTCAATACCATGCTTTTCCTATCAATATCACTCCTTAAATCATCCATTACACAGACAACCATTAAAATCTTCTATCCTCTCAATTATCCATTAATTTTTAAGAGTACTTAAAGTGCTATAAACCAGAAAGTAATGCCCCTGCATTTATGTGCAAATTATCTCATTTTTTTCCCCGTAGAATTATATCATCATTCTGTGAACAATTTCGTCATCGTTTGAACCTACAATTTCTGTGATTTATTTCGCTGGAAAATCTTAAACATTTAGCGCCTGACTTGAGCAATAAAATTAATGAAATAAATAAAGTGCCATAAACTGCCAGAAGGCGCCATATAAAAGGAACACCAGGCCCCCACAATAGACCTCACTTCACTCGTTAAAGTACGAATAGTACGTTCCATATAGAAAGAGATATCCAGCATGACTGATGGCTATATACTATCTGTATATGTGTGTGTATGAGGCACGTACTACCCTGCATTGTATCCCATTTGTTTGCACAGCAAAACTATTGTGGAAATTTCGTTGATTTGAATGGAAATGCAGTCGGGGGTGGAGAACAGAAATCAAAAGATTGGAACTAGAGGATACTCTACAAAGCTAGAGGGAACTCTAGCTCTTAGAGCGAGAGGTGGAGGAGGAGATGGCTTACAAAAATCGATTCCTACTAGAAGAGGGATATATGTATATCTTCACAAATACAGCATACCCTTTTATACCCTTTATGAACCCAACATAGAGGAGAGGCAGGCTGATGATGATTTCCTCACTCCTTCTCTTTCTTCCCCTCCGGTTCGACTGGGTCTCTCGACTCTTGGGGGATATGCAAAGTAATTGCTGGAAATTGAATTGAAAACAAGAGTGCGACATTCGTTTCATATCGCTAAACGAAGTCATGCCATTCCAATTGAGAACTCAAGACATACACAAAGATATATGTCTACATCATCGTACATCATGGCTCAAATAATTAAAAAACCATTGGACTACTACTAATAATCATCTTTAAACAATAAGCAAATACTCGTAAGCAGATCAATTATCAATTATAATTTCCAAAGACTGGGGAAAAGCGGGTTTTGTTTGCTTCGAATAAAACCTTAAGTCCCATGAAAATATTGGGCGTTAATTCTCAACAAGCGTATAAATTTGTTTGTTGAAAGCTTTAACCGACTTTGAATTTGAATTCCTTCCACAATTTAAATACTTTTGTCATTCGCTGAGCGGCAAAATAATTGAGCGACTGAAAAGCAGGTTGAACGTGTTCGTTCAACGACGATTCCGATAATGGATTGTTATAATTTTTGTGATATTTTTCGATTAATTAAAGAGGGTCTTCTTTAACGTAATAAATTATATAAATTGTATGTAAAATGTTGCTAGAATTTGATTTGAATCTCTGCCAGAGAATTCTTTGTAAATAAATAGAAATAGAACAGTTAAAGAAAAGCCCACCCTATAAAGAAAACTCTTCGCTAGAACATGAATCATCCGCAAAATTAGCGCGAATTTTATATTCTAAAAAGCGACGTTTACGATCTAGAAAAACTATAAAATGTACTCAAATTTATTAGAGAAAATATACAAATGTATTTCCACGTGTTTTTCATGGGCGGAAAATACCCTAGTCTGGGGCCAAGACTCTGCTTATCAGCCAACAAATGATTTCCACCTTCTGTGGGCCACAAAACACAAAAGCTTTAAGTAAATTAAGTAAATAATACTGCCATGATAAGAGGCCAGACAAAAGAGAAAGAGCTTGTTTTTGCTGGACATTTCATGGGCTGAAATCCGTTTATGGCCATAATATAGAAATTCTCTATAGAACAGAAGCACCAGAGCGCGGAACTTCAGACAAAGACAGACAGAGAGAGACAGAGAGAGAGAGAGAGAGAGAGAGACATAAAGAGTCGCTCCTCTCCATAGAAAAAAAAGACCAACTAAACAATGATTCGAACGAATTATAATACACATGTCAAAACGATGATGACAACAAAATAAAATAGATTATATTTTGCTGTCCCAAACGAACATTTGCCCTATACAAATCTCAGCATATTACACATTTAATCTGATGAAATATGAAGAGATATCAAAGTACTTTTACGTTTATCGATAGATCCAAACGATAATTGCACTTTAATATCGAGCGATCATGATCATGCAATCGTCTATTAGTTTTTATCGAATATCTATCGATGTATATCAAGCATTCACTGGAAAAAGGGAATACTACCTGATTTTGAGTAAAAACAAATCCTAAAAATGCTAGCTAGAACCATAACACAACTTTTTTTTGATAATTATCGATATTTTCCCCGTATTACAGTGGGAGTAGTAGTTAGAGTATCTATTGAGACGCTGTTTGAAGCTGTGCTTAATATTTTTTGCAAAATCAAAACACCATGAATACTCGGTAGAATGAAAATTATATAGAAATGATGGATGGATGGATGGATGGATGGATGGGAGACATGGAATTATAGCATTATGGCATCATATTCGTGGCTTATCATTTCAGTTGAGAGCTGATCGTGAACCGCGGAGCACAGCCACAGCACACGCTCCAAATGTACGTCCGGAATTGCCTTGAGGTGTGGTCCCTGGTGAGTGTGCTGGTGGCGTTGGTGGCATCAGCAGAGATCACACCAGATCTCATCCGCGTGGAGAGCTTGGCGGATCACTGCCTCGTCCAGGCGGAGCAAACCCGCTGCAGTGGTTTCAATTTCGACAGGGAGGACGAGAGGGCCTCCTTTGACCTTCAGACGGAGGTAAGGATCACCCCGGATGGCAGCACCTACGAGGTGGTGGGCGACGACCAACCCACGGGAGCCCTGATATTCGAGAACTGCACCTTTGTGCACTTTCCCGAGAGGCTGTTGTACAGTCTGGAGGTCACAGAGCTGGACATGCGATCGTGTGGCATCAGGCACATGCGGTGGGACAGCTTTGCCCTCGGCGCCGAGAAGCTGGTTATCCTCCTCCTTTCGGACAACCTGCTGGAGGAACTCAACGATAAGAGCTTCTTTGGAGCCGGGAATCTGCAGTTCCTGTTCCTCAATCAAAATAGGATCAGGAGCCTGGATACGGACACCTTCGATGGTCTGCAGAGTCTCCAGTACTTGAATCTCATCGAAAACCAACTCGAAGAGCTTCCCCCAAGGATATTTGACGACCTAAAGAGCCTCCAAACGGTGCTTCTGGCCCAAAATCTGCTGACCACCGTGGCAGGCGATTTGTTTGCCTACAATCCCCGCATCCATAGCGTGTCCCTGCACACAAACCGCCTGGAGGATCTGCAGGAGTACGCCTTCCGCGTGGGGCAGGAGCACCGCCTGCATTCTCTCGATCTCTCACACAATCCACGGCTGACGGTGCTGCTCCTCAACCTGAACGCCAGCCGCTTGTCGGTGCGCAACTGCTCGCTGGACCGCGTCAATCTCTACGGATCGGTGACGGAGGTCGACCTCAGCGATAACCGGGTGCGGGAGCTGTACTTCCCCGCGTCGGAGACCCTCGAGTATCTGGTGCTGCGCAACAACTCGCTCGTCCAGATGGCCTCCCTCACGCGTGTGCCCCGCCTGCGGCACTTGGATGTGGCTGATAATCCCCAGCTGGCGCCCTTGCCCGAGGGCTGGCAGACGCCCGAACTGGAGCTCCTCGATCTGCGGAGCACGGGACAGCAGGAACTCCCACTGGCGGCACTGCAGGGGATGCCACAACTCCGAAAGCTGGACATTTCCGGCAACAATCTCACGGATATCGATCCTACGGCATTCCCACTGCTCTCCCAGTTGACACACTTTTATCTGCATGCCAATAACTGGAACTGCTTCAGCCTGCGGACCATCATGGACATGCTCATCCGTCCCAACGGCATCACCTACACGGTGGACGCTGTAGACCCCGATTTCCCCGGGGAGTACATCCATGGTATTGCCTGCATGTACCGCCAGCCAGAGAGGGAGCCTCTGGGAGGCTATTCCTCCACTGAAACCGAATCGGGCTACTCCGCCAGCGTGGAGCGAGAGAGTGAGCCCTCGGAGGCTGAGAAACTTCGCAAGGAACTCCAGGCCGTGGTGCAGTATTTTGAGGCAAAGTTCGATAAGATAATGGAGGCTCTGGAACAGCTTAACGATCGCATGTCCTCCATTGAGAGGCTCAATCACACCATCTGGAATACGGTCACACTTTCTGTTTAATTCGATCTCCAATCTAAAGTTTCCAAAGTTCTACTGTTTGAGTAATAAATATGTTTTGTTTTGACCTCAATTTCCGATTACTGGTGTATCCGGAGAGCATCGATAAAAGCTGTTATCTCTGCTGGCAATGCCTCTTCGCCTGACCTCTGGCAACACCCGTAAAAATCGCAGTTTGCTTGTAAATATTGCCTTTTTGTTTTGTGTTGTTTTGTCGAATACGTAACAAAATATTTGCACAAAAATATTGATTTTCAAGCCAAAGCAAAGTCGAGGAGAGGCCTTCTTTGGTTCCCCGATGGTCGCTCCAAAAGATATTGAAAGCGAGCGTTCATTCAACTCTTGAGGGAACAGAATGAAAGAATAAACAGAACTGAGTCGAAAGAATCCGAGAAGGAATTGCGTAAGTGAGAGAAAGATAGATAGATAGAGATAGAGAGAGAGAGAGAGAGAGAGAGAGAGATTCCATAGAATTAATTACAGGCACTTGATGGCCTGCTAATTTCCAAGATAAACAAAAACAGTTTCAGTTTTCAGGCAAGAGCTAACGATCGTGTGCATGCGATCATTCTATGTATATAACTAGTCCCCTATATACTCGCACTTCCTCCGTATGTATGTACATACGACTACCCTCTCTGTGCGGTCGATCAGTGTTTTTTTTTCGAAATGCAGTTTTCTGTTTAACGGTAATTGGCATACAACTCGTGCCGATCGGCGCAACTGTAAATGTTAGCATTCGATATTACCATATTCTCTATATGCTATGTACTATATTCCGCCAGAAATCAAAGGTCGAACACTTGCTGGGCTGGCTCCACAGGTCTGGGCGTTAAATTGAAAGGTGGTTTCCAAGACCAAAACGATAATTGCCAAAAGGAGATAATACGGATGATAAGATATTGCAGAGCAAAAACCAAGAAAATATCCCCAATACCTGGTATTTCCCATACATGATCTCATCACGGGAATTTCCCATAAACTCATCATCCGTGGAAATGAATTACCCTTCAGAATTTTCTAGTTTAAAATATTCAGTTTGAAAAGACCGCCATCAAATAAAGTACCAATAGCTGGAAGTGGAAGGAAATGTCCCTTTCACTCATCAGTGAAGGGAATTTCCCACTTAGTCACATCCACGCGAAAAGGGGGAGGGGGGGTGGGATCGAATCATATCAACACAAAAGAAACGCAAAAAAGGCATACAAAAATAAATCATATATTTTTGGCAATTAAACAATCGAATAAGGGGAGGGGGTAGGGGTAAAGGGTTGACTAAGAAAGTAACACCAACCTTTTGTTCTTGCTAATCAGCCACTGGAAATAATGTTGATTCTCTTGTTGAATGGAAATTTAAAACACAAAAATGCACTGGCACACTCACTGTCACAGTCACTGTCACCGTCACCGTCACAGTTATGTGAACGGACGAGAACACTATTATACTCTTGAATTTTTGTAAACAATTTCGCGATTAGGCTAACAATTTTTGTAAATAAGAAGAGAACGGACGTTTGTTGAAGATTAAAACGAAATTATTATTATTATTATTTCAGTGGGCAGAGGGGAGCAGGGGGTTTTGAACATCCAAACACTTGGAAGGTGTTGACTTTCGAGATTAGATTAATAACATTTCCACACACACACACACACACACACACGAGCGCGCACGCACTCATTTCTCACTGCTTAAGTAATTATCAGCCATTTTGTTCAACACCAAATAAATCACACACTAGCAGCAGTGGCAACAACAACAACAACAACGTGAAGAGCAATTGCAATATCAGCAATAAGAAGAATTAATTGATTTTAATAAAAACAATGCGAGCGGGAAAAATTATTCGGGCGCGCGTTTCCACTTTGGACACCACTGATCGAGGCGGCAGAACTGGAAGCAGCGGAGGGTAGCTGCGCTGCTGCTGCTGCTGCTACTGCCTACGTCACTGGCAGGCACTCTCACAAATTTAATTTATTTAAGAATTATTACAACAAAAAAGCAGCAAGACTCGCGAAGAAATGAAAGAAGCAACGGAGGCAAATAAAAGTATTTATTTGTCCATGGAAAATTTCCAAACGCTGCCAAAACCTCCATCCCTCCCCTCCCGACACTGCCAACGTCCGCTGCTACCACTGTTGTTCACATGTGTGTGAGTGAGTGTGTGCTGCTGTGCGCAACAGCTGATCGTTGATTATTGATTTTTTTTATTTTAATACTGGAATTATATGTACACTCTCTCCACACACGCAATTCTTGCTATTGTTGATCAACTAAATGATAAATACTGACTGTCGATTGCCGAGTATTTTGCGCACATTTCCAAGAGCAGAGAAAAAGATTAAATGCCACAATATTGCACTTCACGAGGCGTTCTGTTGTTGTTGCATTTGCTGCTGGCCGCTGCCCTTTCCGTTCGCGCACAATTAAAAGCTTGGTACGCAGCTTATCACAAAACAATATTATTCGGCACAAAAACACACATTCCACACACACACACGCACACACATATATCAAAATATCCAGCCAGCGTAGTTGTTTGCTGGAAGTTTTTCCACAAAACGACCGCACGTACCACCGCTCGCGATAAAATTAAATTTTTAAAAATTAAAAAGACGGACAACGACCGTACGTACCACAGCTTTCGTTTTATTTTTACACTATAAATTGGGCTAGAATCGTGTTGGAAGAAAAACAATAAAAAACATAACAACATCCACAACTAATCATCTGATTAAACTCTTATATTATATTTTGGGTCTGCCGTTCTTTCAAATTGCGCGCCCATGCCTCAGAAAAAAAGGTATGGACAACAGGTATAGCGGCCCAGAAAATGCAACCAGTGCAAGGTTATATCAACCCTTTTGTCCAATATACCTTGAAGACAAATATCCAATTTTGAGAGGTGGGATTTCTATAAAGCTGCCATTTGGCTTGGCTCTTTTTGGCTGTTGTCCATACCCGTGTCAATAGTCCATTCAAAATTACGCTCTCTCGACTCATTTTTTCGTCGCAAGGGAGGAGCCGTAGAGCGCAGCAGTAGGACCGTTCGACCCTCAGAGAAACCGTAAATTTAGGATACAAAACAAACTTAGCCCACTTAAAGCCCCTGTATTTAATAAGGTAATATTTGTATTACCCCCGCGATAAAAATTAAAATTTAAAAATTAAAAGGACGGAGACAGTGGTCAGACATAAAATTGCCATTCACACTTTGCGCATGCATGCACGCGTTGTATGGGGTATGGAACCGCATTAAATATGACATTCAATTTTAAAAGTCTGGCCTTTTTACAAACAAGATTTTTAACAAAACAAATTGTGGAAAGTAAATTAAAGTATTTTCCTCTCACTGGAGTGTTTTGAGTGAAGATTACAAGACCGAGTTATTAATCGAATATGCGATAAGAATTCCATTTTTTTGCACATCTCTAGAAACATCGCATTGTAAGAATGTTTATGTTGGCGGGAAGTTCAAATCACACATCAATTTGTAGATGACATCTACTAGATGTAGATTCTCATAGAATATAAGGGGTAGAGCAACTAAAAGTGAAAACCATTTGAAAATATTCGGCAGTAAAATTTTGAATATTTTACAGACCACATAAAAACCAATTTATGAGCAATAAATATGAAGCATTTGTTGCCTTGGTATGCCCTTCACACTTTGGACACCCGCTGACAAACTCTGCTCCAAACAAACAAACTTTGAAACTTCATTTTCACCCCAAAGAAAATCAATAAAAATGGCGCATTGCACTGAAGCCATTACGCCACCAGAAACAGAAACAGCCAAAGGAGTGGAGTAGCAACTCCATTCACCATTTTCCTCCACCCCGCCACTCACCTGCTCAATGTCAAAGTCCCATTCGGGCGAGGGCGAGCGTGCTGTTCGGCCGCCGGGAGGGGGTGTACGTGTACCCAGGGCCGGGGATCCTGCCTGCGGCTCCTCGGGTATGACAGCGAAGCGCCCGCGCTGCAGGATGGGTGAAATGGCGCCATAATTAGCTGCAACGGAAGAAAACAATTAGCAAAAGGCGGCACACACACAGACACAGGCAGACAGAGGATTTCGATCCAACACTTACATGTGGGCATCAGGCGGAAGCGTCCCAGCGTCGTTTCCGGCGGTCCCTGGGGCGTGGATGATGTGATGCGGAAGCGTCCGCGGCGAGCGGCGGCTACATCCTCATAGTTGCCGCCCCCTGCCGCTCCTCCTCCAGCACTACTGTGCATGCTGTTAAAATATATTTTTTAAAGTTAATTCTAGACCACGCTGCAATAAAGAAAGAGGGAGAATGAAAATCAATGGTCAGTGAATGGTATTAACGGGTTCCTTGCACGCAACGGTTTCTTTTGAGCGCCTCAAAGTGCGCTACGAAACGGACCCCAGTATGGCCGCTCGCTCATGCAGGAGGATATCATAATTTAAAAGCTCACAAAAAAATGCACTTAAATGACAGAAAACATTCCTCAAAAGTGTGCCATTCAAGTCATTCAACTGACGAAAGAGAGGGTCAGACACAGAGAGAAAAAGAGAGAGAGAGAGAGAGGGCAACGAAAAGAAAAAAAGAGGAAGAAAGAGAGAGAGAGAGAGAGCGGGCGGTCGAACAGCTGTCTTTCCGCCACGCGACAACGCGGCGTATGTGTATTTTTTCGTCAAATTGAAACGTTCTCTCTGTTTTCGCTCCATTAATTACAAATTCTGACGAATTTCGCTAGAAATTTATTAGTTTATTTTGTGCGACATTTTCATTAGACATTTCTACACATCAAAGAGCTGGCATGTCATTTATTACGGCTAGACGGGCTTATGGGGCGTTTTTATGGCGATATTCTTACAATAGAAGGTATAGAAGATATGGCTAAAGAATTGCATTTCTTGCAGTAAAAAATGATGCCAGTAAAGCAGAGAAAATGATTGAAACTAATACAAAAAATTAATACCATAGATTAGAGGCATAAATTTGTATAAAACTTAGTTTTCTTCAAGATTAAATCTTCATTGTTTGATCGGAAATTTCTCTATTGGCTAAATTCCCATTAAATTTTCCATTTTACGTCACTGATTTCGCATTTGCCGTCTTTTATCTCTCAGATATTCCTTGGCACTTTTCTAGAATTCTTTCGCCTTATTTACGTAAACAAGTCAATGAATGAACAAGACAAGGAATATACATATTTATTTGATTCGAGCAATTTACGAGTATTTACCTAAATAAATTCGTTTGCTTCTTGTTCTGTAAGCTCCCAGAAATGAAAGAGCTCTGAAGTTTATTTTGTTATAAATTTTGATCCACGTTTAATCAAAGAAATATGCACTTTTAATTACGACATTTGCTCAATTTCACTGTGAATATTATTCTGTAAGCTTTATTTTCCGATATTTCTCACGACTGGTATTTTTGCGGCACTGCCAAGAGAACGTTTGCATAACACGCACAAGCGAACACAGGAATAAAATGTACTATATATCATTCCGATACATCATATATAGTATCATTCAGTTATGGGCATAACCACTGTGGATGTGTTCTCGGAAACTGTTTGATGATTTTTGTTTTTTTTTTTATTGATTTTTGCTCTACTTATTGCTTTTCGCGTTGTTCGACAAATTAACATAGAAACAAAAAAAAAACACCGAATTATAATATTTAGAACCCGCTGCAAACACTTTCCGACTGTGGGCCCGTGGAAATAATAAAAACAAAGAGCATGAGAACTCAAACAAAGCAGAGACAGAGAGACACACACAGAGACAGAGACACAGAGAGAGAGAGAGAGAGCAGGCGGCTGGCTGGTGCTGCGGAATTTCGCGTTTTGTTTTATGCAACTGCCAAAAATTAAATTGGCCAACAACAGCGACGCGACGCGACGAGACCGAGCGAGTCCGAAAGCGAAAACGAAACGCGGCCAAAATGAATGCAGCACCAAAATAAACCGAACGAAATTGCGGCCGAAGAAGCCAAAAGCGAGAAAGAGCAAGCAACAACTAGTCCAACAACAAGAGTCCAAAATGCATTCGCTAATTGACAAAGAGAGCCCAGGCAAGGCAAGGTATACTCAGAACAAGGTATGGTTGTGCCAGAGAGCGGCCTCTCATTGGCAGCCAAACCTGTTTCAGTGCGAGCACTACGCAAGGAAGAGAGAGTACTGCCTTACCCTGGTATTTAATATACTTTGGGTGCAACCAAAGAAAAACAGAGACGGAGAGAGAATGCCAGAGAGAAACTGAACTGCATTCGATTGGGGTTCATTTAAAGCCGACGCAGATAACAAAAAAAAAATGGTCGCATGTGCAATGAAGAGAGCGTGAGCGAAGAGAGACAGAGAGGAGCAGCATTATGTTTAATTCATAAAAGCACAGAGGCAAAGCAGAGAGTCGTCTCCCACAGAACGAACCAGAAACTGCGTATACGCAATAAAAACAAATACAAAAGAGCGTTCGGCCATCAGCTGTTTCCTTTGCAAAACCAAACACGTGAGCGCACAGAGAGGGGGAGGGATGGAAAGAGATATTGCTTGGTGCTAATTGGAGACTGTTTGTACAGATGCGCTGCCGACGCTTCTGATGCTAATGGGGATGAGTATGGTGGAAGAGGGAGGATATGGAGGATGCCGATGATGAAGATGAAGAAAATAAAAATAAAATTTAATTGGAAAAGTGAGTGACTCATTCCGCTTGGGCGGACTATTAGTGCACAAGGAAGAAAATAAAGACGAAAAACATCCAATATCCATTTCATGCTCTGATGCAATCAAGTCCAGACGAAGAACTTTTCTGTCCCAGGAATTGTGTTCAATTTATATCTTTGTGCAAATTTTTCATTTCCCCAACGTATTTCCGCACTTTGTCCTTTTCCAGTATATCTTTCATTTCAATCAACAGCTAATACTGATCGTCAGTATGCAATCCGCCGCTGATCAAGCGAACAAAAAATTGTAGAAATGGTAAGAAAACATTTGTTACAATTAGAAGGGGAATTATTAAAATTATAAACAATTTTAAGAAGCGATGAATAGATTTTCTTTTTGAATTTTCCGACAATTATCTGAGGCACGACCGACACATCCATCCAATCCATCATTATAGTCAACAGTTTAAAGGAAAACAATTTTCACGTTTCGCTTGGCGAAGAATCTGACGCGATTTGCGTCTGAGGGAAAACTTTTGCCCACCCACAAAGGAAATTTCTGCTATTCTCGTTGGGTTTTCTTTGTTTTTCTTTTGGGCGCGCATCCAAACATGTGACTCGGACCGGACCCCCTCCCCACGCAAGCACCAGTCCTCGACAGAGGATGACATCATGGGCGGCGTTGTGGGGGGTTGGTTGAGTGACGAGGACCTGGTCGGGCAGACAGTTGGGGCCGACAAACAAACACACACAAACGTGTGAAATATGAAAAACAGTTTATAAATAGGGAAAGAGCAGCTCGATTCTCTTTTACTTTTGGCCTTTGTTGCTCACATAAATTGGTTGTTGCTTTTATTTTGGTCGAATGTCAAATGCGTTTGTTGGCCCCGGGCTCCGGCGTCAGGTGAGAGCCGTGACGACCACAACCCGGCGAAAGTGAAAGTTTTTGAGGGTCACAGGGTGGCAAAGAAAGGTTGTACCGATGTACCACATTCATTCAGAATTTCGTTCAACACATGATGTCAGTATTTCGATTATTTCGATTATCAGCCCGTCTATATAATGATTTGCAGATGTCTGGCCACGCAGACATGCCGTAGCTAATTGTGTCCCTCTATCTGTATCTTCCACTCACTCTCTATCAATCTGTGTCTCTCTGTGTCGCATTATCAGCGTGAAAACTCATTTCAATGAACCACATCGTGCGTGCATATATTATATGTATATATGTATGTATGTATGTATGGACCCTGCGTCCGGGTATTTTATTTTTGCATGTGCTCTTTTGTTTTGTTTACTGTTGCGCTCCGCTCCGTACTTGTGCGGGCGATAAGAGGGGCTTTTCGCTATCTGCCGCTGGGGAGGGCGCTAGCATAAATCACTTTCCCACTATAGTTTCCGTAGATACGATGTGCAAAAGTATGAAATGTAATAAAACTTTATATAATATTCCGTCGGGGCAAGGCATTTCGCCGGCTTCTATTAAGACAGTGTGCCAGAGGGAGAGAAGAGAGGTTTACGTCACAGGCAAATCAACAACAGCCGGCAAAATACTAACGGTACAACCACCCACCATTCCGAGAGAGCGACAAGTTCGAAAGGAGAACGAGAGAGAGAGCGTTCACATTGGGGGTGTATGTTGTGTCACACACCCTCTCACCGTCCTCGAATGCCTTGACAACATGTGAGACCCAAATCGAAATTTTGCAAAGCCCTGCATCTGATCTGCTGTTCAGATTACTTGCTATTATCGCATATATTTCACAATTACTTCGATGTCTTGTGTCGCCCGTTGGCGTCCCCCACTCACTTTCGATCGCATTTAGTGGCTAAAATTAAGTTAAATCACTGACAGACACTCACTCACACAGGCCCAAACGGAAAAAACGTCACGAGGGGCAGTGGGTGGCCAATACACACTAGCAAACAGCTGGCAACAACAACAACACCAGAATAAGAACTCACCCAAAGAAAATATTGTATTGTATTAGCACTGAATTCGTTCTGCTTCTGAATTTATATCCTTAAAAAACACTTTAGGCACTGGTATCATTCGGCATTTTGATTGCCCTTTCACTTACGACACTCGGGAAAAACTTTCATTAAGATTTCGCGCGACTTCGCGCCGTATCCTTGGGCTATTACGCTGTCACACGTGTATTTGTCCACTCTTACAAACCGGTCATGCTGATTTCACTGCATTCCTTGCGGTTTCCGCTCTTGTTTAACAAGCAGCAGGATCAATTAGTTTAAACATTTAAAAGCAGTTACAACTTTAAATAAAAATAATAAAATTTCGAGCGCAACGGCAACAGTGTGACCGCGGATCTACCGATAAAATATACTTATACCGAAATATACCGTCTTATTTTCAAATATACCGATGAAAAGCGATTTTAGCCCACTTAACCCCCCTCTATTTAAGCGGTGAACAACTTGAGCTAATCCACGGAAAATAATAGTTTTTAAATTCTACTAGAAACGGCTTCTTTTTAATTACGAAAAATTCCTCATTATTTTTCACCTAAACTGTGCTAAAATTCTTCAAGATTCATCGTATTCGTGGCGAATTCGGGTTGACAATGGCTTAATCGTCCTATGTACACTTCAAGTTGGACCAAAATTTAATTTAATTAATTTTTGAAATTAACTAATGACTTAATTAAATGAAAATTTTAAATAAATTAACTAATAAAAGTAGCATAGTTTTTTAATTATTGTTTGGGGCTTTGATCGAGTGATCTAATAGATATTTGTTGTTCTTTTCTAATTGATACCAATAGTTTAGTTTACTTAAATAATGTCCAACATTTTTGTAGGTTGCAGATCAAGAATCGAATGCATTGTTCGCTATACCGCGGCTATACAAAAACCAACATTTTGTACGATTTGCAGTTCCGGGGAAGGGCTAAAGCCAGACGCGATGATTCTATATACACTAGGCTACACAGCCGTCTAATAAATTCTATGAAATCAGGTCCTTCTTCTCCTCGGACAGCTTGCCGCCATCGCTGGGGTGCTTCTTGGACGACACCGGCGCTGCCGGCGACTGCTTCTTGCCATACAGCATATCCACGAAAAGAGCTGCAAAAACGAGGACAGCGCCCAGCCACTGGCGGGCAATGAGGACGTTGCCGAAGAGCAGCACGGAGCACAGGACGGTGAAGAATTTTCGCGTCGTGGTGACCACGGAGCAGGCCAGGGGTCCGAAATTGGCCACCGTCAGGAAGATGAAGAACTGGCCGAGGGCTCCACACAGCGAAAGCAGCGAGAGATGCGTCCAGACCTCCGGATGACGGATCGCAAAATGCAAAGACTCCTTGACCTCACCTAAAGAGAGAAGATTACTCCAATTGCAAGATTTGGCAACCTGTATGAGCTGCATACCAGTCAGAAGCATGGCGAAACCGAGCATCAGAGTGCTCCAGAAGTTCATAGACTTCATCATTTGCTGGCCAGAGGGCGAGCTGGCCGCCCGAATGCGCTCCTGCACGGCGCCCGTCAGTCCATCCATGGACAAGCTGAGGAAGAGCAGGACCTCGCCGAGAAGAGTCGTCTCGGCGGGCAAATTGGCGACCTTTCCCTCCTTGTACATGAACAGAATGACGCCCAGCACGATGCTCAGTACACACGCGTATCGCGTCCAGCTGTACGATTTGCGTCCGATAAGCACACCCAGAATCATGACGGGTATCGGCTTGGCCGACTTGCCCACAACAGCCGTGGGATAGGGAACCCAGCGCATGGCCATTGTGGTGGAGACCATAGCCAGCAGATAGGTGAGCGAGCAGGCCGCATAGGAACCGGTGTGGGTGGTATCCTCCTTTTGCGGCTTCACCGTCAGCAGCACTGCGAAAAGATGGTCAGAAAACACGGCCTTTAGCAGATGTACATCGACTCACCCTTAGCAAAAATGTAATTGCAGACGCACTGCACCCAGACCAGAGCCAGCGCAAAGGTGAAGCGCTCGCCCACGGATCCATCTGCCTGTACTTGTTCGCCGTACCGTCCCCGCGTCAATTTCTCTTGAACAATGCCATAAAGGAAGTAGCAGACGAAGATTCCCACGGCGTAGATCACGAAACGGCTGCGTTCGGGTACATTCATTGCAGGCAGCTGTCGTTTGAATTTTAATCCTTAATTAATTGTTTAGTTTAGTGATGAGCTGGCCTAAAACGTGGCCTAAATATACCGTAAATATGCCGATAAGAAGTCGAATTTAGCCCACTAAACACCCCTATATTTAAACAGTTCAAGGACTTGAGGTAAATGGCGGCAAATTTGGTGATTCATGCCATCTTTCCTCTGAATTTCAAGAAAACCACGATATCTTTCACCTACGCTAAATTTATTAATCTTCATTATTTTCGGTGGAATATTAAAATACTCCCTGCTATGGGTCTACAATGGGTTAATCGTTCCCCGTCAACGATTGAAAACGTAAGAAAACTTTAGGGAGTATGGAATGTAGGGACATTGTCGCGATGAAAAAGGACCTTGCTCCACGAAGAGTGGTCATCCCACCACGAACGAGAGAGCTAATCCCAGAAAGATAGAGCAAACGGCTACCAGCTGTTCGGCTGGAATTAACTACACGGTAACTACACATTTGATACATTTCCAATTACATATTATGTCAAATTATTTTATATTATGATTTTGTTATGAAAATAAATAAATAAGAAAAAAATTAATGTATCACATCAATATTATATATACTTCAGTAAAGATCTGGATTTCTAAAGCTTGATTTGTCGCGTCAAAAAAACCGCCAAAAGCGTCAGCACTTGCATTTGGTCAGCTGTTTCTACTATGGGTCGCACTGCCAAATTCCAAACAAAAAAACCCAAAACCGACACATCACAAGTCTTGTTTGTGCCACACTCCAACTCCGCCGAGCCCCACATAAATGCAACAAAGCCCAGCCTTCGCTTATAGGGAACAGGAGACCTCGCCGCGCGCCATGTACATGCGCGACTGGCGCTCTGCCCTGCGAACGCCCACGTATCGTATCGGAAATCGAACGGTTCGCTTCAACTACCACTTTGCCCTGCTGGTAGTCTGTGTTGTGGCTCTGGTGCTTCTGTTCTACTTCGCCCGCCAGGGGTCCCGCTCCTCCTCCGAAGGCTACTGGCTGCGCAGGAGCTTCATCGATGCCAAGAGCCTAGATGGCAGAGCTCTCACGGAGGCGTACAACTCCACTTACCCCCTGACGCCACCGTTGGGGCTGCGTGGCGGCGTTATCAACTACCGGATCGCCATGATAGCGGATCTAGATACCAGCTCGAAGATAGCGAAGCCCGACGGCAGCAGCACGTGGCGGAGCTACCTCAAGAAGGGCTACCTCACGTTCACGGTTTCTAAGGCGGAGATCAAAATAAGTTGGGACGACGGGGCGCCCACCGTGCTGGAGTCAGCCTTTGCGCTGAAGGGACGTGGCATGGAGCTGTCCGAGCTGGTGACATTCAACGGCCGCCTGCTCAGCTTCGACGATCGCACGGGCCTCATATACGAGATTGCCAACGACAAGCCCATTCCGTGGGTGATATTGCTCGATGGGGATGGTCACAGCGCCAAGGGATTCAAGTCGGAGTGGGCCACAGTCAAGCAGCAGACGTTGTACGTTGGCTCCATGGGCAAGGAGTGGACGACGAGCATGGGGGACTTTGAGAACAACAATCCCATGTACGTGAAGGCCATATCGCCCAGCGGGGAGGTGCGCTCTCTCAACTGGGTGGACAACTACAAGCAGCTGCGGCTGAAATCGCTGCAAATCTCCTGGCCCGGCTACATGATACACGAGAGTGGGGCGTGGTCGGACTTGAAGCAGCGCTGGTTCTTCCTGCCGCGTCGCTGCTCAAAGGAGAAGTAAGAAAATCCATAGAGAATCAGTATCCCCATATCGATCGATGGATCCCCTTTCAGATACAACGAAACGAAGGACGAGTACATGGGCTGCAATGTCCTGGTGTCGGCCGACGAGAATTTCAACAGCATCGAAACGATTCGGCTCAGCCCGGAGAACACCGCGCCCACACACGGATTCTCCAGCTTCAAGTTCCTGCCCGGCACCGATGACAGCATCATCATTGCTATCAAGTCCGAGGAGCTCAACGGAAAGACCTCCACCTTCATCACTGCCTTCGACGTTGTGTCGGGAAAGACCATCCTACCGGAGGCACGCATCGAAACGGACTACAAGTACGAGGGATTCGAGTTCATTTAGCTGTTGCTTCCAGCTCCCAGTCGAAGGTGCTGCCACTCGAAGGTGCTCCAGTTGTAATTGTATATACTGTAAGCCACGTAATAGTGTCTCGTCTCATACGGTAAGCTTTATATTTATAGTCAAGTTTTAGGTTAATCCAGAGATGCTCATTTGCCTCCTGTACCATAGCGCAAATCAAATTGTATTGTAGTTTATTTTTACCAAAATACAAAACGTACAAAGCCCGCGGCAAACCAAAACAATCCAGCATCCCGATTATTCGTTGTTTGGCTTCATCTCCAGTCCCGCCACCAGCAAATCCGCAGTGTCTACGCGCCCCTCGCTGGCTCGCACCTCCAGGCGATCGGCATTGTGATTGACGTTCCAGAGGTCGGGCAGAAACTTTGGCTTCATCGTGTGCAGAAAGTGCTCTCGCCACAGCCGCTCCAGCTCGATCAGGCCTCCAAATTCGAAGCGGTACATTTGAACCACCTTCTCGCCGTGCTGGCAATAGTCTTCGTTCTCCATTCGATACTCCACGTCCGCGGCCTCCCTCAGCAGCTGATCTGTGACTTCGGTGTGATCCTTGTAATAGTCCAGAAGCGTACGGCGCATCTCCTCCATCTTCTGCTCGGGGATGCGGTGGCCATTAAACAGCAGTGCTTTGGCAGCGGATTTGACCCGCCTGAAAGTCAGAAGAGAACGGAGATTATCTTGAGTGTTGAGGGTGTCTTTAGGACTTACTTTAGCTCTGGATCGACGTGATACCGGACATTGCCTTCGCTGTGCTTGAACGGGGCATCGCACTTGGCGGCCAGCTTGCAGTGAACCCGCAGATCCGAGATGTTGCTCAGTTGGTGACAGGGCGGGCACAGCAGCAGAACGTCGTGGGAGGTATGCGACTTCATAACCACCGGGAAATGCTTCCGGTACTGATGCGGCACCACATTCTTCCGGATTAACGCCTCTCGATTGCCGCACACCACGCACTGGTTCTCCTTGGGCGTCTGGTAGTAGCGTCCAACCTCTCCGACAGCCCGTCCCGCAGGCTCAAAGTTCAGGCGCACTGTGAACGGATTCTCGCTGACTTTGGTACCCAGATTCTGTGCCAAATACCAGGAGGCTTTGCGGCGATCCATCGTGCAGAGGAGCTCCCCGTCGGGTGCTTGCAGCAGGCAGTTATCATAGAAGACCTTCGACTGAGTTCCGAGGTAGCGACATTGCTGCTTTTTATTCGCCACTTTCTTCTGCTTCTGGGAACCAGAACTGGGGGCACGACTCCCATCCGCCGACAGATTGATGTTAAAGCCCCTGGCGAAGTCCACGTCCAGGAAGGGCTCGATTTTGGGTCGAAAGTTTTCCTCACTCAATGGCCGCCAGTCCCAGAAGTTCCGTGGCTCCAGATCGCTGGATAGCTTCTGGAAAATGGCCACGGCAGCCAGTGCATCGTTGGCCGCGTAGTCGATTTGGCTAGTCTCCAGCTGCTTAGCCTCCCAGTTGGAGCATGCCAGCCGCCAGTTCTTGTCCAACACGAAGTCTACGTGTGTCTTGGCCAGCTTTCCCAGCCCCTCGGGCTTGTGTCCGGCCATGACGGCCAGAAAGCGAAGGTCCAGTGTGCTGGCGACACCCACTCCGTAGTCGTGTGCCAGCTTCTTGGCGTCGTCCTGAGGCGCTACTCCCACCTTGATCACTGCCTCGTCTTCGAGCAGGTCGCGCAGGTCCTTTGGTATCTGCCTCATAGTACACAGTCGGAAGAGAGCACAAAGTCCTTTGTGGGAGCTCAACTGAAGGAGGGCGACGGGTCGCCGGCTGCCCCCCACCGTGATCCACTCGCAGTCGAAGCCGACCACCTTAAAGCTCTGGCAGTGACTGAGGATCGGCAATTACTTATTAGATTAGTTTCCGTATGGAACGCCGCCGGACATTACTCACGTTCGCAGCTCGTTTAGCACGACCTGGGCGGCTGGGTCATGGATGGAGTTGATGACTTCTACGCGCCTGTTGTGCAGCGGACTGTTCGAGTGCCATGTGCGCCGCATCCTGGACAGCAGGGAGTGCTTGTGGCGCACCAGAACATACACAAGACTCACTCCGGCAGCAATAATAGCTAATTTTTTTGTATTGTCAACGCTCATTGTTTTCGTTGTTGGGGCAGCAGCTGTCCAGTCCGTCTGCCAAAAAAAAAGCTAAGCACACTAAAGCCCCCTCTATTTAAAGAGTTCAACGACTTGAGGTAAATGACTGAAAATATTAACGATTGTAAATTCTTTTTGTAGATTCATGCCATCTTTCATTTGAACATAAAAACAGAGACAAAATACTTCACCTAAACTGCGCAAAGATTTTTAAATTTTCATTATATTTGGTGGAAAATTGAAATACGCCCTTGGTCTACAACGGGTTAATCGTTCTCCGTTCAGGATTGGAAACAATTTTCCTCGATTTTGATATTCGATTTAATATTACTGGCTAGCTAGGACTTTCATACCTCAACACATAGTTTTCTCCGATTAAGGAACCAATTTTTTACTTTACTGTCTTATTTTAAATACTTGCTTTTATTGGATCATGTCTAAAAAATGGTTATATCGAAATAGGTCAGACAAAAAAAAGAAAGAGGATAGTCGTTCATATTACTCAATTTAGAGATTCCGTTGATTAATTCTGGCTAACTAAAACCCTTAGTTCTGCCCACATAATTTCGGGTCATTGATGAATCAATTTTCTACAAGATTAACTACTTTTAAATAGTCCCATATATTTTATTTTGACTAAAACAAGGCTTAAACAAAAAAATTCAACAAAAAAAGAACTTATCACATTAAAGCCCCCTAAAACATTTCAACGACCTATCGGGGAAGTGCCACCACTAGCGATAGCCACCACTAGAAATCCGCGTGAAGACTTTTAAATGTTAAATTAAAAACTCTAAATTGAATAATGAATAAAACCAAGTGAGACGCGACCGGAGAAGTCATGTGGAAGTGAAGTGGCCGAGCAAAGGCCTCAGCAGACGGAAGAGCGGCGCGGCTAAGGAGAATCCCATCCCTGCCGCCACAGTTCCTGTAACGGAATCGATTTTTCACTGCTAGAGAAACCCCAGAAATGACGGAGAATTTAGAGCTGCACCAGTTCCAGGAGGGCTCCCACACGGTAGACGAGTCGAATCGCTGGCTGGAGCGACTGAAGACGCGCGTCAACTGTCCATACTTGGGCATTATCCTGGCCACGCTGTCGTCCCTGTTCTTCTCGTTGTGCTCGGTGATCGTCAAAGGACTGGTCGATGTCAATCCCATGGAGCTGGCGGCATTCCGCTTTGTGGGGGTGCTGCTGCCGACCATTCCCATCCTCATATACACCCGCCAACCAGTTTTTCCGCAGGGGACGCGCGTCATACTGCTGATGCGCTGCTTCATGGGAACCACGGGCCTGATGCTCAGTTTCTATGCCTTCCGGCACATGCCACTGGCCGATGCAAGCGTAATCATCTTCTCCACGCCCGTCTTCGTGGCCATCTTCGCGCGCGCCTTCCTCAAGGAGCCCTGCACCATGTTCAATGTGATCACAATCAACATAACGCTTGTCGGCGTAGTACTCATCACTCGGCCGCCTTTTGTGTTTGGCGAAACGACGCCCCCGCCGGATGAACAGCTGACGGGCAGGCCATACGACATCTGGGGACCCGTGGCCGCCTTCTCGTCCACCCTGTTTGGGGCTAATGTCTACATCCTGTTGCGGGCGCTCAAGAACCTACACTTCTCCGTGATAATGACCAACTTCGGAGCCACTGCCCTCGTGTACACGCTTATCGTGTGCGCCTCCATCGGAGCCGTATGCTGGCCCAGTTGCGGCCGTGACCGCTGGCTGGTCCTCGTTCTCGGTGTCTTCAGTTTCCTCGGCCAAATCCTGCTCACCCTCTCGCTGCAGATCGAGCAGGCCGGACCAGTTGCCATCGCCCGGTGCGCCGACATCGTGTTTGCATTCATCTGGCAGATGATCTTCTTTGGCGAGACGCCCAATGGATACTCACTTTTTGGAGCCCTCATGGTGATTAGTTCAGTCATCCTCACAGCGCTGAAGAAGTGGGCCATGACACTGCCGCGGGAGTCGTCGCTGCGCAAGCGGCTGCGACTCATCCTACTGGAATAGACGGAAGGTGGTGTCGCTCAGAGGCAGGGCACGCCGTGGTTTCTCCCGAGTAATGTCTAGTCACATCGTTCACACGTCGTATATCGTACATCGTAGTAGAACGCAATCAAATAGAAACATGCGGAATGGAATGATACACGTAGACTTAGCATATCCAAGAGGCTCAGCATAGCATAGTTTATTCGAATAGCCGTATCCCTAGGCAGTTTTCTGAGTTGGAGGAGGTGCGGTGCTCGTGATACCCATAAGTTTCCATATTGAAATACTCATAGTGTGTGTTTTAGTTTAGCCAATTCGCCTATTTGTTGTTTTGTACATTGTTATACATGCTTTAAATACAATAATAAATAAAACTTATGAATTAATCGCAACTGTTTAAATGTTCTTGGATTGCATTTAAATCCTTTTCGCTCTCTTTCAAACAATTTCTATTTGGCGCTCAAGTTTGGTGAACTTGCTCTCTCTCGGAGGGTATACGTTATCGGATTTCCTTGCCAATATATCGGATTTTCCAGTATATTTTAAGACGCGTTATGTGTCGCCTTTGGTAATTACATGAAAATGTAGTTCATATGTAGCACATGGCGTATAGTTACCATGTAGGGAAATTAATTTTGTGGACATTTTTTGTTGACCGGCTTTTCTTAAACCTTATTTTACAAGCAATCCAGTAAAGATGAGAGCTTTAAGTTAACCAGTCTTGTAGGAAATATATGTAATAATTCGATGAAATTATTAGTTCAGACCCTTAGGTCTTAGCCAGCTAGTCATATTCCACGGAATATCCAAAACGAGGAATATGATGCAACTTGAATACAAATAATTCGTCAGTATATTTACGGTATATTTTGAAATATGTGATGTATTTCGGTATATTTCTGAGGGTCAGACCGTATATCTTATCGATAAGTCGATAGTCGATAATCAACTAACGTTGACAATACAAAAATCACACTGGTTAAAAAAAAGGCTAAAAAGGAAGGAACAAAACAAGCAAACAGAAAAGAAAACAGAAACACACATTGTACATTCGCCGTGGTTGGTGTGGACCACCGCCCTAGAAGCCCAGATCCGCAATCACCGCGTCCAGCTCGTCCTGCAGATTGGTGGCCCGGTGTCGCACCTGCACAATTTGGTCCTGCAAATTGTCGACGTTCGCCTGCAGCAGCACGTTGCATTTCTTCATCGCCGCGAAGCGACTCTCGTGCTTTTTCAAACGCGGCTCCACGTTCGCCTTCTTCGCGGAGTTGGACGCATCCTACGCGGGAACACAGAATCGAAAGAAGGAAGAAAGGAAGCAGGTGAGTGCCATACAAGAATGTGGGAAATGTGGGTGGACCCACCTCTGGTTCGGACTCGCTGCCCGTCTCCGCCTCGCTCTCGCCCGACTCGGATTCCTCGGATTCATCGTCGGACTCTTCCTCCTCCTCGCTCTCGTGCTCCTCCTCGGCCTCCTCTTCATCCTCCTTGTCCTCGCCATCGACATCGTCCTCGTCCAGCTTCATCGAGGCGGCCATCTTCTGCACCTCCTTCTCCAGCTTCTTGAACTTCTTGTTCTCCTCCCTGCAAACAAAAGAATCCTCTTTAGAGGCTGCACTCGGAATGGATAGCAAAAGGAAACTCACTTGAGGATCACCTGGTTCTTCTTCATGGCCTGCTTGAGCACATCCTTCTCCTTCTTGGCCGCCTCCTCCTTGACCTTCACCTTCGTGAGCTTGCTGCGCAGGACCTTCAGCTCCTTGCCCACACGCTTCTCCCTGCGCTCCGTCTTCTTCTCCTCGGGCTCGTCCGGATCGCTTTCGCTCACCTCCAGATCCAGCTCTGGCGAACTGTCGCGCCCGAAATTGGCATCGCTCGACCGCCTTGACCCGTCGAGCATTCCGCCACCCTGCGGATCGCGGCACAAACCAAAATGTACGGATTAGCAATCTCCTTCGCAGCTGGTGCGTGGCTTTACCTGGTGCGGCGCGTGCTTGCCGGCATAGTAGTGGTCGTAGTAGTCGTCATCGTCGTCGTCGTCGTCGTCGTAAGCAAAGCATTTACTAGTGTGCGTTCTGTTAGTGCTTGGTGTCGCACAGCCCTTGCAAGAGAGCGTTCAATGGGTTAATCTGGTTAGTGGCTGCTGCAATTTTTGTTTGGGGTGGGCAAAAGCGTGTCTTGGAGTTGGTCGGGTCTGGGTATCGGATCTTTGTCATGCGGCATGCGATGATCTCTTAACTTAAGACTTTAGGCGATCGATCTCGAGGCATTTCTGCGGTGTTCGTGTTTGTAGTGCTGTGCAGTGGCGTTTGCGTTCCCCATTGAAAAAGGACGCCTGGAGCCCCCCATCCCCATCCCCAGATGTTTGTGAGTGTGTGTTGTCAGCTGATCTGTTTTTGTTTCGTTTCGTTTCCATGGCTACTATGGCTATGTCACTACTATGGACAACTATTTACAAACAAAACTACTAATCGCGGGGACTACTAATCGGGGCTACTAATTGCGGTGGCTTCGTTAGCTCCTCTCGTCTACTCCCTGCGCCGGAAACGCTGAAAATGTGCGGAGGAGAACCTGTGAGGAAGATGGCGGATGGACAGATGGGTTACGGACCCCACTAACCCCGCTTTCCCCTCAACTGACAACACTTCGAGCGACGCCCCATCATTCCACATCCCATCCCCGATCCCTGAACCCCGACTGACCTGGAGAGCCGCTGCTAGCTTCCGTTCGAGGAGCTGGATCTGTCGCCGCTGCTCCTCGATCTCCGTCTTGGCCTCCACCAGCAGCTCGCTGGTGCTCTGGTAGTTCTTCTCCACCTCCTTGGACACCTTTCGGGCATCCTCCACCTCGCTCTTCAGCGAATTCACGTACGTCTGCTCGGCGGTGGGCGTGGGGTCCATGGTGGCCACGATGACATTGGAGCCGTACTCGAGATTCTTCTCGCGCGACTTCTCCCGCTCCAGCTCCGTCTCCAGAGTGCGAATCTTGGCCAGCAGCTTCTTGTTCTCGCGCTCCTGGGCCTCCCGGTTGCGCAGCTCGAGGGCCAGCATCTGCTTTGTGCTCTGCAGGTCGTCGCGGATCTTGTCGATGTCGTCCAGCTCGTCGGGACTCTCTTCATCGATGGACATTGCGGAGGCGATGCTGGCCCGCGATCTGCCCGACCCCAGGGCGCTGGCACTGTTCGGTCCCAGGGCATGGCTGCTGGGTGCCTCGCAGAGCATGTTGACCTTCGATTGGGACTTTTGGAGCTGCTCCTCGATGGTCATCTGGCGGCGGAACTTGCGCAGGCCATCCAGCACGGGCTTGCTGCGATCGTTGGTCCGTGTGGGCTTCAGCTTGATGCCGCCCTGGATCTGCTGCAGCAGCTTGTTGTGCGAGTTGTCCTTCTCCGTCTCGTAGATGAATTTTTCGTCCACCTTGGTTATCGACTTGCATGTCAGTATGGGCTGAGATCTGCAGTGGGGCGGGGGGAGGATGTAGTAGCCAGCTAGCAAGAGGAGTCCTTCTCTAATCACTTACCTATCGTTGCACGCCACATGGCGCAGCTTCTTGCCACTCTCCACCTCCTTCATCATCTCGGACCAGTCCGGGCGCCTTCTGGGCCGTGTTCTGTGAACCGAAAACAGGAAAACCAGAAAACCGTGAGAGATGGTCATCCTCCTACCGACTCCTGCGACTCCAGACTTACCTCAGCTTGTCGAGGTTCTCCTTCTGCGTGCTGGAGAGCACTCGCTTCTCGCCGGGGGCCAGTGGCGGGGGCGGTGGTGGCGGGGCCTTGGGCACCAGCGAGGGCAGTGGCGGTGGGGCGGGAACTGCAACAAACAGAGGCGCCCGGTGGCGTTGGGTTGTGAGAGTTGTGAGTATAGAAGTGTGGAGTGTGGAATGTGGCATGGAATGGATGGCTGGATGTTGCTTCGGTTGCGGGGCATTAGAGCAAATCGCCGCCTGGCGCTCGCTGCGTGCACTCGCGGTTATTAAATATAATTTTAATTTAATGAGTTTGCAATTTGTGTCAGTTGTTTGTTTGTTTGGATCGCATCCCACTCTACCCCTCCCCTCCTGGATGTTTGTTCAAAGTTTCCGGCACAGGGCCATACATATCAATTGGCGTAGGAGAGTGGCTCTCCCACACAGCCACATGGCACTCCCTCTCTGTGTCTGTGTGTGTCTCTGTATCTCTGTCTCTGCCGGAAGTTGCAGCATAGATTGAAAAGTTAGTAGGGCCTCTGTGCCTGTGCCTGTGCCTGTGCCTGGCTTTGATGGTGTTTTATTGCCTTAACACCATTCAATTCGTCCGAAAGGGGCAGGCGGCAGCAGGAGGCAGCAAAACTTTGATTGCATTTTTTACTTTGTCCGGACTTTTCCTTGGTCGAGTCCTCCGTAGGGCCCCCCGCATTGCTGCTCTCTTTTTTGGGTTTTTAGTTAGTTTAAAGTCCTGTCCTACGCTTCTTCGTTTCGTTTACTTCTTGGTGTTCGCTGGAGCCTGGCTGTGGCTCTGGCCATGGGTCTGGAGCCCTGTTAACGAGGCCAATTAGTCCGGACAGCAGCAGGCGGAGTCGAAGTAGGAGTTCACCTCCGGCAAGCTGTTTCTAATAAATTTCCGCTTAAATTGTTGGCCTAACAATCTCCCATACTCTCTCTCTCTGGAGGTCGCCTCTGCCTCGGCCTCTGCCTCTGCCACTGCCACTGCCTTTTCCTCCATCTTCCATTTACCTCTCCCTCGTGGCCTCGTAATTAACAATTGAAAAACTTTTTCCAGTTTCGATTTTTTGCCGGATCTCCTGCTCTCTACATAACCTCACTCTGCTCAGGCACTCTCTCTCTCTCTCTCTGTCTAACACACTCATACGCAGTTTTGTTGTTGTTTTTTGTGTGTGTTTTATCGAATACTTTGCATTCTTTATGTTTTGCTGCTGTCTGTTTGTCTCGCTCACACTCCCACTCCCACTCCCTGTTTAAAAAAAGAAGTGCAAAAGTCAAACAACAGAGGCCGTCCTGTGGGAGCGAACGAGAACGGGAGGGAGAGAGACAGAGAAGAGACGCCGTCGCCGCCAAGTGATGAAAAGCTGACAAATCTGTTAATTAGCTTTGTTTGAATGAACCCTCACCGCCTCCACTCTGGCAAGGATGCCACCCACTCAGGCACCCACCCAGCCACCGCATTATCCTTTGTCTGAGCTTCCAGGCTTCCCCCTTCGCCCTACGCTGCTCTCCGCTGCCCTCCGCTCCTCTTCGCTCCTCTGCCTTTTCTCGGTTTTGGCTTTCGCCTCGACTTTGCCTTTGGTTTGCGCCTCGCTGGCTATGCACTTAATCTTTAAGTGGTTCGCTGCCGTTTGCCACGCTGGTGCATTAGTTGCTCAGTGTCTGGCCACGTACCGACCTTCCT